TGCTACGTGCGTATACTGTAGTTTATGAACAACTTTCATGTTTTGAGGCCATGTTACACAGTCATATTTCAGAACTCATAACAGGCACTCATCGAAGATCTTCCGTTTCAAACCCATGGCCAATTGCCGCGATGCGCACATTTCTAATCTTCCAAATGTGATAAATGTCATATTGATCCTTTGCTGATCGAGCAGAGTCAGTCGGTTCTCTGTTATACGCACTTCATGAGGTTCACACTCATTGACGTCAACAAGTCGTGGAGAAATGCACTTTGAAAACATGCCATTTTTCTTCCACAGATTTAACGATCATCATTCGATTCTTCTGTGATTACTGCGTCATTCAGTCTTTGGGGTCTTTTCTGCACTTCCTTAGAGAAAGTGCGCTGATTTGAATATCGCCGGCAAACCACAAATAGCTAACGTCGTGCTCGTTTATCCTCAGCCACCGATTATGCCGATTGGGTGAGGAAGCTGTCCCTTCGATGACTGCTGTGAATAACTTCTGTGATATTGCGTCACCCTGTTAAACGCCTTTCAAGGTTTTGAACTTGTTTGTGAAATTTCGCATAACCAGTTGCATTCTTAAAAATCAGAGGACAGTAGCCTTAGTTTTTTTCCCGTTTCTCTGACTCCTTTAACTATCCAATATTGATCAAATGTGCGGTGAGCTGAAAGCCAATTGACGAATCCTAGGCAAAGAGGAAGCTGATATTCGTTGTTTTTCTGAACCACTTGTTATAAGGCCTGAAAATGCTCCATTATACTAGATTCACTTCTGAATGATGCTAGTTTCTTTGGCTGTGCATACTGTAGCGTTTGCTCATCAGATCCTTCTTCTGATCACATCCCATAAGTGACTAGCAAGAAACTGATCGTTCTGTAGTTTTTCAGGTCCTCTTCATGTACCTTTTATATAGTATAATTACTGGTGCGATAGTCCATTCACTTAGAGTTTGTAAGAACATACAAGACATGAAACATAATGCAGTAACAGTGTATAAAAGCAATATAACCACTACCTTAAATTCGCCAATGAAGTATTAAAGAGTAGGATGGCGAACGTTAAAGTGTGTTGCAACGGCAGCGAATGTTCATAATAATGGTCTAAATAATAAACTGTATTTAAACTTGTTATCATAAAAACTTTATGGAAAATCCACAAAGGGTAATCAACGCCAGACTTGATATTAACGCAATGTCTAAAGGCTCTATTAAACAAGTGCGTCATAAAGCAACTCTGAAAATGACAGTTCGCTAGAAGCGATTGACAGATTATCATATAACTGCGGAAAATATAGCATGGAAGAAACTGAGAGTCTTTCCCTCAAAAGACACAGGCTCGCTTGTAAAGCCGTCGAATAGGGATTATAAGAGGTG